AGTTTTTAAACATTTGCCAATACACCACTGCTTTAACATGTTCAAGCCCTCAAGCCCAACACGTATTGCAAGAAATACTCAGAGAATGACACAGATGTTGTTTGAAAGGAAAAGTGAAAATAAACTAAATGTTCATGAAGACTCCATTGGAACCTTAGGCAGCCAAAGTGATAGTTTTTGAAGAGCTATTTTACTTATTTGAAAAGCAGAGTATGAGAGAGAGAGAGAGAGAGCAAGCAAGCAAGAGAAAGGCTTCCTCCATCCATCTTGCCTGTAATGAATGGGCAGGACTGGGCCAGGCCGAAGTCAGGAGCCTGAAGCTCCATCTGGATCTCCAATGTGGGTGGCAGGGCCAGAGGACTTAGGCCAATGTTGATTAGTTTTTACAGGTGAATTAGCAGGGAGCTGGATTGGAAACAGAACAGCTGGGACTCTAACCAGTCCTCCAACATGGGATGCTGCTGTTGTGAGCAGCAGCTTAACCCACTGCACCACAACACTGGTGCCAAATAATATCCTTAATATACTTGATCACATTAAAATTACTGATGATCTAATAAGGGGAAATGAGAACATAAAACTTTATATGGGGAATAAGAAAGATTACATATGGAGAGACAGATGTATAGAGTAATTTTTTAATCTAAATGGTATCAGTGATAACTTTGAATGACACAATTACAATGTGTTTTGTTTTATTCTATTCTTAACAGAAAAAGAGTTATTTATTTCCTTATTCAGAGGAGTTACAGAGAGGTGGCAGACAGTGGCAGATGAGGGGGAGTGGGTTGGCAGAATGAGATGTCTTCCATCTGCTGGTTCACTCCCCTCATGGCCGCAATGGTCAAACCTGAGCCAGACCAACCCTCATCTAGGTCTCCCGTATTGGTGGTAGGGCCATCCTCTGCTGCTTTTCCTGGGCTGTTATCAGGGAGCTGGATCAGAAGTGGTGTAGACAGGACACGAACCGGCGCCCTCATGGAGTGCCAGTGTTGGCAGACAGCAGCTTTATGAGAAATACTAAGATGCCAGCCCTTTCTTTTCTTTTTTTTTATATCTGTTTGTGTCCCAAATATTATGTTACAAACATGTATTACATTTGTAATCAGGAAAAAATATAAAATCCTATTAAGAAATAAGCTTAAAGTGAGAAGAAACTGGAAATTTGTCCTGTCATTGCTCATGCCAAATTGTCACTGGTCAATCAGAGTAGATACAAACTTCTGCTTGCCGGGTATAAGAGCATAGAGTTCTGGATGAGCTGGTTCTGTGCATTTATGGTTCTCTGACCCATTAGGATGCAACCAGTCTTCAGAACACTGCTTAGAATTGTACCTTTGACCTCAGACTCATAACTGCAATGAATTAAGTATTTAATTGACTACTTACAAGTCTCAATGTCAAGTTGCCTTCCAGACCTCTCTCCTAGCGTAGCTTTATGTTTCCATGTAGACAGACTTCACCTGGAATACTACCATGGCCTCATCACCCACTAACTCCTCCCCATGGCAGGTGCTCACAGGGTTCGAGAAGGCTCTTTGGCACCCACCTATCCAGAGGACACACACGTTCTAGTTTGTTCTCTACCCCTCCCACACCATGGGGGATGCCTATCGGTGGCCGGCTCTGCAGTAACTGGAAAGGCATGCTGATGTCACTGGTGGAAAGACAAGGCCCCCTGGCCTCAGGTCCTCTGATCAATGTTGTTAGTGACCAAGGCAATCTGATTTTCCCTTTCCAATACCATCTATCATTCATCTCAGATCTGAAAGGGCAAAGAAGAGGGGTTAACGATCAGCCTTGCTGACGTGCCAGCATTGTTCAACACTGTTTCTGGAGAGCCGACACTGCCACACACTAGGGTCGTGTCTTTCATTCCCTGTTGTTGTCTATGGCATTTGGTGTGGGCATTTATACTCATATAAGTGCTTCATAGAAGACTGAGAGTGAAGGCCACAAGGAAGACAGTTCAAGAAAAAGATCCATGATGGCTCCTCTTCACCTGCTGTCTTCCTCTGATTTCCTACTAAACTCACAGAGTAGGACAAGCAGACTGCCCCATTCTCCTCATTCCTTATTTTCATGGAAGGCGCAGCATTTGTGGCTTAAATTATTTATACTGATCAACAGAAACGAACACAAGGTGAAATGGGGTCTCACCTGAGAAACATCTTCATAATGACAGACAGGGGAGAGGTATGGCCATCAGTTCTAACTCACAATCTGTCTTCTTGGCTGTCTCCTGCTCTTCCTCCTTTCCTTCCTTCGATACGTATTTTAAATAAAGAAGAATTTTAAAAGCAGGAGATCTCTTAGTAGTCAATACAACTTTCTGTGTCTTAACATGAGCTGCCGATTCGCTCAGTCCTGACAATCCTAACGCCATTTCTTCTCTCCCATCCATTGATACCAATTAGATGCCTTACAGGTGAAGAAATCATTTGCTCAACTGTACAAGAAAATGGCCACTTCAATCCCTTTAAGAAGTTGGGCTCTCAATTACCCAGGTTTACTTCTGCTGTGAAGTGATAATTAGAGTCTAGATAGTAACTGGATTACCAAGGACATCTCTCCTGACAGTCATTGAACAACTAATCAAGTGTTAAGGTTGTAAATTATGCATTTCTCAACAGCATTCTGACCCATTTGAAAACAATTTGAAACAGTCCATGGGTTTCTAGATGGTCTTCAGCTTTACAGAGCTACTCAGGGTCCTGCTTGGAGGAATTACCTACTTGGAATTACCTGGCTAAAGGAATTACCCACTTAAAGACCTCAAAGTGTAAGGCTTTCCCAGTTCTTTAATCAGCTACAGATCATTATTTTTTAAACTGACAATTTAGAACCCTCCCACCATGTAAGAGAAATTGGAGTGTTTCCCACAGTATCAGTGCTACCCCCAGGGAGCCCACATAAAAGGATTCTAAAGAGGCTTTGAAAGGGGGAAACATAAGAAAAAAAAAAAGCCTTATAACTGTGTTTTTCCTGTGACTTGCTCAAAGCTAGATTCAGAAATTGGAAGTCCCATAATGAAAACCACAGGCTGTGTTTCTCATTTCCAGTTTAGAGGAAGAGAAGTGTCCCAAGAGGGTAGGTAGGGTTGGAGGACGCATGGGGAAAGGCAGATAAGACAGTACCCTGCCTTCCTTGTCCACCTTGGAAGCAAACCTTGCCTCCACTAGGGTGGGGGCTCTTTTTAAATAGCTGAGTCCCCAGCAGCAACTGCATGTCTGCAACGCTACCAGTGACCTGAGCTTAAAAGTCACAGTCTCAAAAGGCGGCAATCCCCACCCCTTAGATTTGGCCATAGATTACACCATGTATTTCATGAAGAATTTTGTCGTCACTTTCACCGTTCTTTCTCTACTATCTCTTCTCTACTCCTTGCAAAACCCTACAAACCCCCAAGAATTCACTCAAGACTGGGTGGGTGCTAGTACAAAGCTGAGGACACAATGTGGGACACCCACATTCCACAAAGGAGTCCCTGGGCCTTCATCCCAGCTCGGCTCTGGATTCTAGCTTCCTGTTAATACACATTGTGGCACGCAGCAACAGATGGCTTAAGTCCTTGCAACCCAGACACTCCCAGGGGAGACCCAGCTTGAATTCTAGGTTCCTGGATGTCATGGGCATTCGGGGAGTGAAACAGCAGACAGAAGTTACTTAGTTACTGTACAAATTTACTGTGTACATTTGTGATGACTTTTCCAATAAATAAGTAAACTTCTGAAAAAAATAACTCAAATGCTACCACCTCTGCAGACCCTCCACTCTGCACCTGATACAAAATGAATCAGCGGGCACCCAAGCTCACTCGTCATTTCTTGATTTCTCTGGTCTACTGTTATCACAGCTTTGCGTGTTTTTCCCTTAGGGAGTCGTGAGTTTCCTGAAGAGCTGTGACTGTGTTTTCTAATTTATGTATATAGCACCTGGCCGGGAATAAATGCACATTTTTTTTTCTAGAAAGAAATTAGATTTCCAACTTTCTCTTTTAAATGAGGTTTTAAAAGATGCTTTGGAAACATTTATAGATGGATTTTTATTTTGTTCGGATCTTAATTTTGAAGGCTGGACCTCAAAAGAAATTGCTATGCTAAAAATCACAGAAATTCAAGACATTATCTTATAATCAATTGTTTTCTTCCTTGAATCTTTCACGTGAAGTTCTGTGTCTTTATGTTTTCATTTGCCATCTGATTTGACAGGGACTCTTCCCTGATGTAATCCCTGCTGTGCATCCCATAAACAAAAGATTCACTTCTCACTGGAATATTGACAGAAATAAATCATTTGCAAAGCAGTCCCAGCTGATGATCTCCTGAGTTTTGAAAGAGTTTCTTTTATCAGAATACTAAAAACTATATGATATATCATGATCATTTAAGTAGGGTAGTTAACATATCAAACCATTTGTTTCAAACAGAAACAAGATTCTGGATGAGTAGCATCCCTACTGTGTCCTCCCTCCTGTATATTTTCAAGTCAGGGGAATGGTCAGGGCAGAAGCTCATGCTACAGGGACTGAGAATTCCGTTCATGGGTACATAGGATCTACAAGCAAGCTCAGCATCTTCCTTTGCCTGTGTTCATTTCAGGATGTATTTTGCATTCCAGTTTTCTCCTGCTCTGAATCCTGCCTTGGGTTGCTTTCCCAATGCACTTTGGATGAGTCTCATGAATGGCCAGAAACCCAGTTTACATATGTTCCTGTGCACAGGAAAATCAACCTAAGAACGTGTCCCCTCAGCAACTTCTGTGATCTCAGTCCCTCCAGGCTGACAGAGTCTGAGGATTCTCAACTCATCCTTTTTACTTCTACATCCTAAAAGGTCTCATGCTGATTAATTGTATAAATATCACTCACCATCAATAACAAAGTAGTGGAGGTTCATGAACACTGATGGATAAAAACCTGGGGCCTATATGGCCTCAGCCTCACGGAAGGCAGGAAAGAGAAAGGCCAGTGCAAAGGGCAAAGCCAGTAGTCTGAAACGATGATCACGAGAGGATTGGAGAACAGATCACAGTACTGTTTTCCAAGGATGCGTCCCAGTGGCTACCTTGATGTCTTAGGATCCCTTGCAAATGCTCACTCTTCTCAGCCAAAAGAAAGCTCGCTGGAGCTTGAATCAGGTGAGTTCCCTCACAAAAAAGGTAGAGTGAATGAACCACTTCATAACATTTGTGCCTGAGTGATGTTGAAGTGGTAGATGGGTACGATATGAAGGCTATTCCCATAGGTCCAGTTGTTTTCAGCATCTTGGAATAAGTCAAAACTAAGTGTCAAGTCAGTGCTTCTTGGCCAGTCCTGTGGTCCACAGCAAATGACATAATTTCTCTGAGCTTCTGCCTTATCGTCTGTGAGATGGGAGTTAAAGATGATGCTGTTTCATCAGATTGTGACTGGCCCAGGTAAGCCAAGTGTAAAAGATGAAGTTGAAGATGCACCATGGCTTTGGTAGGACGCATCCTCTCGCCTGAGCTGAACAGTGGCAACACCCTGCCCCAGGAGACCAGTCAGCCAGCCCCAGCTGCACTGTAACCATGTGCAGTTATCAAAACTGCAGGCATGTCCGAAGAGATGCAACAGGATTCAGGGGAGTGCACTACTACAGTGTTGGAGAAATATAACCTAGAGAAGCATATTGTGGCTCACATCAATAAGGAGTTTGACAAGAAGTACCCCACTTGGCACTGCATTGTGGGGAGAAAGTTTGGTAGTTATGTGACACATGAAACAAAACACTTCATCTACTTTTGCCTGGGCCAGGTGGCCATTCTTCTGTTCAAATCTGGTTAAAAGCATGGACTCAGCCACAAACCCAATGATCCACCCAAAAACAAGAACTGCAGCCCAAATTCCAAATACCAGAGACTACCTCACCAAGGGAGCACCTCACTCAGCCCTTGAACCTTTATTGTGTTCTGTGCAGGGTATTCTGTGCACCAGTTGTGGTTATAAAACAATTAGCCAACATCAGCATACATTTGTACGTATTTCATAATTGTTTTCCCAAGATTTTTTTCTCAGTTCATTCCTTTAAAAGAATAAATGTTGGAGATTCATTTAAAAAAAAAAGTGAAGTTGAGCAAGTGAGTGGTGTGGTAATAGTTACAATAAAGAGGGCATTTCCAATGCAAAAAATTAATTTGCTCATCTGCCACATTGTTTATAACCTATACCTTCCATGGTATTTCTGCATCCTTCTGTTTATTAGAAATAAATAAATAACAACAGTAAGAAGTACGGGGTGGGTATGGATGCTTCCAACTCCCTTATATAGAGTGTAGGTTGGATAAAGCCAGCCAGGTATGGCAGGATAAGAATGGCAATAAGGAATCTGTTAAAATGAGAGATGGGAGAGAGAACTAAAACTCAACAGGGCTAAAGGTAAATGGCAACTAGGAATAGAAAAATCTTGTAACATCTCTCACTCCTTCTTTTGACCACCCACCACATATTCTACTTCCCATTCATGCTTTCTTCCTTCATACCTCTTCCATTCCTTCCACAAATCCACAGCCACTTCCACAGCTTTATCAGGCTGTGGGAACACAGTCTATGCACAAAATTATGCTTCTCACTTTTTTCCTGTTAAAGCTATTTCCACATGACAACCACTGTAGAGCTCATTTCAGATTTTGAGGTGAGCTTCGTAAGGCTAGCTTGGTCTCATCCAACTCTGTGTATAATGTAGCTAAACATCTTTAAAATTCAAGATAACTGAAAGGTTGCCTTAGGAGAGAAATATCAGCCAGCCAAACCATAGGCCAACAATATTTGAAAATGTTCCAAGTAGTTACCAATATTTCAAATTCAGAGGATAAGTGTTTAGTCTAGCAGTTAAAGGCCCACATTCCACACTGCAGTACATGAGTTCAATATGATTACAGCTTCCTGCTACTACAAATCCAAACCTTGGGAGGCAGTGGTGATGGCTCAAGTTATAGTTGGATTCCTGCAAAGCACATGGGAGATTCAGATTGAGTTTCCTCTGGCTCCAGGTTTGGCCCCAACCCAATCCAAACTGGTGTGGGCTTTTAGAGAGCGAAACAGCAAGGGGCAGGCTCATGTTTTCTTTCTCTCTTCTCTCTCTGCCTCTGACATAAACATTTGTTTTACATTTCAAATTAAAGATGTTTTACACAACAGTTTAAATTTCCAGTTTGATCCCCAAACTGGAAATACAGCATCAAGAGGCCAGCACCAGTTGTATCTAAGTACAGTGGTCTCCATTAATAGGGCCCTGGTATCTTCTGGAGTTTGCCTCGGTTTCCAACCTTCCCCATCATACAGAGGCTGTCATTTGTCACCTTTAACTCATTTTAGTAAACTATGTTTGCTTCCTTCATCAACATGGCCTCAAGCCCCAGAATCCTCAGAGTACGTGTTCTGCAATGTTCCCATCTTTATATTCACCACTAGCAAGTCACACTCAGAGAGAAATAGGCCTATTCTCCCTTCACTGCAGATTCTCCAAACCCAGCTCTCCCTTCGTCCTTCTTCCCGGCCCCAGGCATTAGCATTGGATATCATCATGATTACCTGTTCTCTTTCAGCATTTGCCCACCAGGTAAGCCTGTCAGTCTCCCAAAAGATAATAATACTTTCCAGGACCTTCTGTAGAGTTCCTGGACCTTTGGGGCTTGAACCACACTTTGTACACAGAAAGCCTTCCATTATCACCACTATTGTTGTCATTATTATTATTTGGGATTAGGCAGCCTTCTCAGAAGTCCTGCCAACCCTAGGCAGGTGGCACCTCAGAGCCTTACCTGGCTCGGGGTGATGTGACTCAGGCCGGAAGCACCTGGGTGCAGGACTCTGGTTCAGCCTGCGGAGACTTGGTCTTGTGCCAGAGTAGAAACCTGCCCTGAAACACTAGCCACCCTCTAGCCGGTGCAAGGGATGGAGGCTGAGTCTCTTGAGAAGGAGGCAAGAGAGTGGAGAGCTCTTTCCCAGGAACCAGACTCTAGACCACACTGGTTCTTTCTCCATGCCACACAAACACTTAGGGTCTCTCCCTGTGTTTAGTGCAACTGTGAGAACAAAAGCAAGAGTATCAGATGTGCTGTAAGCTCATCTTTGGCACAAATTTATGTAGCTTACTCATCACTAGTTTTTAACAACAAGAATTCTTAAACATATTTAAGTTGTACTCCTGAGGCACTGGGTTGTTCGGAGCAAGAAAGGGTAAAAGAACACGCAATAGCCTTGACTAGAGGCTGCTTGGAGAATTCATATTCTGGTCCTGGGCTAGCACCTTAGACACAGAAGGCAGACAGGAATCCTGGATGGTTCTTTACATTGCATTGAGAACAGCTCAGGGCCCAGTAGAAAACCAAACAGCAGTTATTGTTCCCAAATAATCCTGCCCCTTTCTCAGCCACACACACACACACACACACACACACACACACACACCCTTACAATCTGGGAGAGTATGAAAACAGCCAGGCCTTGATGCCCATCTGACAAATGAGCTCCAGACTGAAGACAGCCATGCTGAGATGCTATTGGGGAATCTTTCCGGTCTTCAAGTACTGCAGGGAACAGCGGAGATGGGCCACTGCACTATCACAGGATGTCACTTTAGACCCTTTCCTAATGAGAGCGTTATCGATTTTTGAATAGCAGAAGCCTTGGACTAATGATTCCTGAGGTTTTGGGAACATGAAGTTACAAATCTGACATCACAGGACAGAGGCGTGAGTAGTTCTCCATCTTGACCCTAGTGAGGAAGGAGGCACCACCAAACTAACTCATGGGGGTCAGCACAGGCCAATCCTCCACCATCCAGTGCCATCATTCCATACTGCTCTGGTCCTAACCATCCACTTCCTATCCAGCCCCCTGCTAATGTGCTTGGGAAAACAGTAGAGAATGCCCCAAGTGGTTGGGTCCATGCAATACCCAGAAAATGCTCCTGGCTCCCAGCTTCAGATCAGCTCAACTCTAGCCACTGTGGCCATTTGGGAAGTAAACCAGTGCATGGAAAACCTTCTCTATGTCTCTGTCTCTTTCCATAAAGTCTGACTTTCAAATGAATAAATCTTTAAAAACAAAACTAGTTCATAAACTAGAAGAAAGGTTAAAGCAGGTTAGGGGCAGATCACAGCTCCGAACTAAATACATTCTATGTACTTAAGAATGTATCACAGTGTCTAGCACATTGGAAGCACCCAGTATAAGAGATCAATTGTTTTTGAGATGTTGACAGTGGAGCTGTGGTAGGCTTTGGAGCTGGAAATGGCTTTGCTAGAAGTGAAGTTTGTGGAATCCTATTGATGTGTCCCAAATTACAGTCATGTGCCACATGTCACAGTACTGGCACTGACTTGCCAATTAAATCAAAATTTCTTTAGGGATAAGGCCTATCGGGTTACTTTTAAAAACTTGTGTGGAAAAAAAATAGTACCAAAAATGAGTTAATTTTGTTGCAGAAACCATTCTTGAAATCGTGCATAGTTTTTTCAAAGCCCACATTTCCCATGTATGTTTGAACAACCTTTCATACATGCATATATTTTGAAAATATCTTTGCAGGAAAATTATCTTTTAGTTCCATTTCTCCATGAACTTTGTGAAATAGCCTTGCATATCCCAAAGCTCCAGAATCCTGACAACTACTAACCTTGTACACACAACACTCCTCTGGTTTATTAGCAAGGTAACTTGAGTCCCTGGAATGTAAGCCCTCTGCCACATGAAAAGACCACAAGAGGGTGGGGGGGGGGGAAGGGGGGGACCCACGGAGGGGGGGGGTGCACACAAACATTGAGAGAAGAGGTAGGTTTGTTTTGTTTATTTTAGTATAACACAACACACAATCTTAAACGGCACCTATCTTTGTTTTATTTTTGTATATATGTGTGGGGTTTTGGGTTTTTGTTGATTTTAAAGGGTTTGAGTTGTTAAGGAACACAAATGTGCGGGGGGTGGGTACACACACAGAGTGGGGTTATACACAAGTAATTGGGGGTTTTGGGTTTGTTGTTGAGGGGGGGGGGGGGGGGGGGGGGGGGGGGGGGGGGGGGGGGGGGGTGGGGGGGGTATGGGGGGTTAGGGGTTGTAAAGATGATATGGAGTTTAAAAGTGGATGTGTAGGGGGGGGGGTACATATAGGGGGGGTGTGGGTTATATCAAGGACAGACAAGAGGTGGAACACATTGAATGTGGTTTCACACCACATAGTACAAGTGTGGTGAGGGAGGTGTTAGGAGATGTAGTGGGGATGGTTTTGTTTTATGTTGATTTTTGGTTAGTAACACAGAATTGAAATGGGAACAAGGTGGGGGGAGGGAGGGAGAATGGTGGTTTGGTTTGGGAAGATGATTATTGTGGTGAGAGGGTGGAGAGGTTTTTTAGGAATTAGTAGGAGAGTAGATGGGTGAGGTTTGGAAGGGTGAGAATGTATAATGTTTGTATATAGGGTGTAATGTTGTTACACACACACACAGCACACACACACATTGACACACTATGTGAGTTAAGAATAAGATGGGGTGGGGAGTTGAGAAAGTGAGATGTTTTTGTAGTTGTTGTTTGTGAAAGAGGGAAGGTGAGATAGGTTGGTGAGGTTAAGGAGAGGTAAGAAGTTTAAGGAGAGGATGAAATAGTATATAAAAGATTTTGTGGTATAACAATTTTTGTAAAATTTTTTTTGGTTTTGGAGAGTGATATTATGTTGTATATACAACTCTCAACGTCACTCTTTTTTCCTCTATTGAATTATAGATATATACGATCAGCTTATCTCTGTGGGGGCAAGAACCTGGAATAACGATTAAGACCCTTAAGTCCATAACTACGAGTCAGGTGAAGTTAATTCCATCACGCTGGCAGTCACCCAGGAACAAGGAAGA